AATCCCACCTCCGACTAACTCCCCAGTCTTCCCCACCTCTGACTAACTCTCCCACCGGAATCCGGCACTGAAGAAGACACGCTTCATCTGAAGAAATCGATTCCTCCGAATTCGACTCTAAACAGGAGGAACCCAACCTCCAATTGCCAAAAAGCCCTCTACTGCACCCGCCCCTAAGAAACCCAATTTGTCCTCTTCCTGCCTCCAAGTCCATGGAGGATCCTCAAGAAACAGCTCAAAACCAGATATCAACACCGAAAATTCTGTCTCCACCCTCCCTCCCTTTACCACCCACGGGTGGGTATTCTCCGCCATCGCCGTCCTGTGGCAGTGGTGGAAGACCCCATCGCCCCCCTAGATTACCATTTTCCTCCACCAACAACCAGGCACAAAGGTTTTGTGATTTTCACCTTGGGTGGAAAATGTAATCCCAGCTGAAGGAGAGGAAATCATTTCCCTTCATTTGGTGGAAAATCAGGCGCGTGAAGGAAAATAAGGAAAAAGTTTTATCTGAAAAATTTAAGCCATCAAACATGTTAAAAAGTGGGAAAATGAATTCATTTTCCATTTTTCCTAGAAAATAAGGTATATCAAACGTGGCCTAAATTCTCTTAAACATGTTGCTTTAGTGATGATGTGACAAATATGCACTTATTTTGTAATTCTTTTATTCTTGTACGTACTTCTTAAGGATCTTAGGGTACATTGCACTCTTCGTCCCCAACTTTAGCGATTTACTCTCAACTTATTTATTTTTTATTTTTTGTCTTTCATCCATAATATTTTTGAAATTTGTAGATTCATACCAACAGACAATTTCATCCAAAAATCTTTTAAATTTATGTAAATTGATAACTTTACCTTTTAACTACAAACATAAAGAAAGGAAAAAAAATAAAAATAAAGAATAAGCCAATAAGTTACTTTTTATCCACACATTTCAAGAAAATCAGAAGTACTATAGACTTGGCCCCTGTTTTGTGCACAGTTTGAATGTAAGAATGTATTTTTACTATTGATGTGATGGGGAATATGTAGTTGAAAAAAAATGAAAAATTATTAATGTGATGGAAAATATTATTTTATTGAAAAATATGTGGTTGAAAATAGGTAGAAGAATGAGAATGAAAAAAATAATGTGGACCAAACATGCCTTATTCATCACTCATTATTCTATCTAATTATAAATCAAATCGTTCGTAAATAATTTCCAAACATGAAATTTTTCGTAAATAATTTCTAAAGTGTAAGATCGTCATAGTACACAAATTTAATAGATTTTTGAATGGGTACAATTAGCAGGGAAAAAATTGCAAATTTTTTGAAGATTAAGCACAAAAATCGGGGGAAAAATCTGAAGTAAATTTGCTCCTTTGCCCAAAGGTTAGGGACGAAATAATAAATTTACCAAATTCTTATATCATGACCTCTCGTTTAAGAATTTTGTGGGCCCGTTTTATCAATTTGCTCTGCAGTGACAAGTTATTTTATTTTTTTCAATGAAATTTGAACTTTACGACAAGAAGATATTCTATTTCTACCTAAGTAACAATGAAGATTGGAGGCTAATTATATATGTTAGAAAAGTCATTCTTGCCGTTTGGTTTTTCTTTGTCTTATAGGCCTATACGTAGGTATTTTTTTGTAAATTAAATTCAAGCATATTATACTTAATTATTATTTTTTACGACACAGACATATAAATATGTAGTGTATTGAACACGCATATTATGTGTACACATTCGTAAAAGAATAGATAAAACAGAACCATGCCGATGATATCATTCCTTATGCAACGTAAATTCGATTTACGCACATTTTATATATTATCTCATTGCATATTCATATAACAACGGTGTGTTAAGAGAGTAGTTGTTAATAATATGCTCGTACATCTCTTAGTTTATAATTATTTATTTGTAAATATTACAGAAAAATGCATTTTCTCTTCAGATAGTGTCATACTGTCACGATTGGTCATAAAAAGCATCCAATCAAATATTGAAGATCGAATTCAAGTAAAGTTTCTTCTCAATGTGCACGAATCGAGCCCACACCATAAATTATCGAATTAGGTTAAAGATAACACCGATATCTCTCCTAACATATTGAAAAGTTATCGAATATTGAAAAGTTATCGACAACACAAATCAATAAATTTCAAATATCTACGAATTTACGTATTCTAGTAAATATTTTCTTTCATGGTAGGGTTAGGGTGGACCAAAATGGTACAATATTCTTTTTCACGCACCCATTTATAATTTTCTTATTTACAAATTTGTTTTTCTTTTGACCAAACAAACAGAACACAACTAATGAAGTGTACACATACAGAAAGAAAAAAATTAAGAAAAAGAAAAAGCCTTTTTGGATCTACTGTCATCGTGGCTAACGGCACCCATCCCATCCCCACCCACCCCCAACCTTTTTATATACCCCCTAACACCCACCCCACCCCCACAAAGCTTCTCTACCCTTGTGAGTTTCTGCCCGACTACCCACCAAAAAACTCCCCCAAAAAGCCACAGAACCGCCATGAGAATACGGAAGCACGCCAAGATTTGTTCATTGATATATGCAGCATCTTCATTGAAACCTGGAACTGTGCTTCAAACCCATGTTTGCCAGTTGAATCAGTCCCCTTGGGATGTTATGAGTTTTTCGCCACCATCAACTCCTCCGCCACCACTGCCTCCACCGACGTTCCAGGTTAGTTAAATTTAGTCTATAATGACTCGACTTCGGTTCAATACACAGATCTGTTAAACCCATTTCTGATTCTTGTCAAATGTCCCTCCATTTTTGCTGTTATTCTTTTTTCTTCTAGGGTTTTATGAAAACCCACCATTAGGGTTGATTAAAAAATGTGAATCGAAGGGTTTTTGTTGTTTATTTGGGCTTGGGAATTTGAAATCTTTTGTGGGTTTTCACTGTTTTGGTTTATTATAACTCGGCTGGCTCCATTTTTTCGACAAAGAATAATTTTATGCAGGTCACCGAAAATGATGATTTTGCGAGAAATGGGAGCTTCGGGGAATCTATTGCAGCTTTCGACAGGTAATCCTTTTATTCTATGTTTAATTTGGGCTGTTTTACAAGTTTTCCAGCTCTTTATTGACGCTGAAGCATTTAGGGTTCTGCAATAAATCAGCATTTGTGAATTTTTCTATTTGTAATTTGATTTTTCGAAATTTGAACTAAACTGTAATGTTGTCCATTGGATCTTTATTAACAGTGCTGTGTCGATGAAAATGGCTCTCGATGATGGGGAGATCGAGGCTATAAAATGGGATTATTCAGATAGTGGCATCGAGGGCGGCTACGTCATCGACAAGGCGGAGGAAGGGGTCCCAAAGAAAGACAGAGAGATTATTTTTTGCTGCAAAACTGATGGGAAGGGCTGGAAATGCAAGAGGAAGGCAGCTGAAGGGAATTCATTATGCGAGCACCATTTATCTTTAGTACGAAACTACAATAACTGGGCTCCGCTTGCAGCCAAGAAAGTCGATAATGTGGCGGCTGACTCTCGTAGGCGTCCTCGGGCCAAGAAGGTGGCCTCGACATCTAATCCGTACGAATTCTACTATTACTCAGGTTTTGGACCTCGTTGGGGCAAAAAAAGAGGTGAGAACAATCAGATTAATAGCAGTCGGGACATGCCTAAAAATGTCGATCGACAACATGAAGTGGCTCAATCCTCGTCGTCTCAAATTTATATTGAAGAATCTGATATTGAGGATGTGGTTGAGTACGAGGAGGAAGACGAGGTGAATAGCGAGAGCGAGAGTAGGAGGAAGAGGCCCCGAAAGCCGATAAAGGCCAGGTCCCTAAAGTCCCTAATGTGAATGGAACAAATTTTGGCGTAAAAATGTGTGGCATTTGATTTAATGGCAGTTGACTCGTAACTTAAGCGTGTCCTTGTGTTAAAAATAAGGGTAGAACTGTAATTTCATCTTGCATTTCTTTCAATGTTTGGAAATACTTGATTAAATTGCACTAGTATTTGTTAAAAAAAAAATAGAAACAACTCAACATCGCGCTAATTAATGGAATTTTTTTTCTATTTAACTAATATATTTTTTTAATAATTACAATTTCGTTTTGTAACGTGTCTATGAAACATGTCTTCATTATGTACACTTGTCTTGAAAATATCGCTAGACTTCATATAACTAATCGAGAGTATGAGTTCCAAAAAATCTAGTTCTAAAAATAATGTTCATAAATTGACGAGTAATTGGACACTTTTGACCCCATAAATTTTGGACGAAAAAGTGAAAAAAAAAAAAAGGAAAAGAAAATAAATCCATGTATAATATAGAAAAGATCCTAAAATGCTATTTCCTTATATTTGGGGAAATAGAGCCTTTTTTGGTATTTTTAGAAAGTCCCTATTTTGGTAATTTAAGCGTTTTATAACATTAGAAAACTCAAAAAAATTAAAAACCCAATTTTATTTGTGCGCCTTGACTTCTAAAAGTAATTTTCTCCTCTTAGATAGGGTCTCTCTCTCCCCCCGTAAATATCTGTGTGTAAATCGAATGTATGCACCCACGTATGCATGCGAAGAGAGTTTTGATGATCTTGAATTTCCCATGTTAGGATTGATCATTTATGATTCCGTTGTTAGTTGCATGCCAGGTGTTTGATTTTTTGTCTACTCGAAGATTGTTTAATTTCGCGTTAACATTAATTAGTAAATCTGGAATTTAATAACGTACTTAAAGTGGGTTCCATTAAATGATGGCTTTGATTCCTGTTGTTTCATATTCTTGATTTTTTTCCCTTTTCTTTCTGGTTGTTCATTAAGTGAATTACTGTATGGACTAACGATATTAGTCTGACCCTGTAGTTTTGGCTTCATTTTCGTACAATTGCTGCAATTTCATTCTTAATATCTATTTAATGAAAGGTGTTCATGTAATTGCTCCAAATTTCAATGATTTTTACGTGTTCCGCTATCCTTTTACAGCCTCTTGGACGGAAGAAAGAAGGGAAGTTACTGAGCGACAACAACAGGTTCTGTCTTTTCTGTCTTGAGATTTGAACAGTGAGTTTTGGTGTTCTGAGGAAGATTATAGGTTGAATTATTCCAAGTGAGGAATAAAAGATGTTCCTTTCGGCGTTACATAATAATTTTGGCGTTCATTCTTTGTCGATCTTGTCTCTCCATGAAACAACAAATTCTCGTTGCCTTCCAAATTTCCCGTTTCTATCGACTGTGAAATCTAAATACACTGGAAAACGATTGGTATGCACTTCCAGTTCAAAGAATTCTGATCCAAAACCCGACAAGAATCGTAGTCAGAGTCCTAGTTTGAAGCCAAAAGGAAGAGCTCAGCGGGAGAAAACTAAAGTTCCTCAAGACGAGGATGAAAATTCTGGACGGAAGTTCCCTACATTGATCCCTAAGAAGCCCAAGCGTGGTCGTCGGAGTGAAGCAGCTGCAGTTGAGGATTTTGTGCGTGATTCGCTTGGACGGACTTTCGAATCAATCCGGCAGCAGAATTCGGATATTCTGAAAGATAAAGTAATGAAAGATAAAGTTGACAATGATGTTGATTCCAATAGCAACAGTGATGATGAGGATGATGACAGGGACGAAGAGAAAGGTGATGATTCTAGCGGAAATGAGATGTTTGTAGAGGAGGAGAATCCCAATTGGCCTTTGGATGCTGATGTTGGGTGGGGGATCAGAGCATCAGAGTATTTCGAGCAACATCCTATAAGAAATGTCGTAGGTGAAGATGGCACTGATATTGACTGGGAGGGAGAGATGGATGATGGTTTAGTGAAGGAGATCAATTGTCTTGAGTGGGAGAGCTTTGCTTTCCATCCTAGTCCACTAATTGTTCTCGTTTTCGAAAGATACAACAGGTCTGTAACAGTTCTTGAAAAGAAGGAATCTGGAAAACATGATGTAGTGCATTTAATCAATACTTGCCTATATGTAATCCGAATCCGTCATTGATTTCAGGGCAAGCGATAACTGGAAAGCTTTGAAAGAGCTAGAAAAAGCAGCAAAGGTGTACTGGGAAGCCAAGGATCGACTACCTCCTCGGGTATATGAATCTCCTCTTTTGACACCTTTTTTACTCTATTCCTATCTGTTTATTATAATCCTATATCTTTGATTTCCATGATTAGACCGTCAAGATAGATATAAACATCGAGAGAGATTTGGCTTACGCTCTTAAAGTTAAAGAATGCCCACAAATTTTGTTCTTACGTGGAAACAGGATATTGTATAGGGAGAAAGGTGAGGACTAATCTCCTTCATTGTTATATTATATGTACTCCCATTTGTTAGTTCCATTACTAATAAGTTCTTCGCGATATGCAGAAACAAGAACAGCAGACGAATTGGTTAAGATGATTGCACATTTTTTCTATAATGCGAAAAAACCTTCGTGCATTAAAGACGAGGCTCTATCATCGCCATTAAGTTCAAGAGAGGCAGCATTGTGACCATATCTTGTTGCATTGTGTCATTATCTTGTGTTTCGGCATTTTAAGTTTTTTTTTTTGTTCGTGAATTTTTTGTTGGATAAATTAGTGCATAAATTAATCTGTTTATAAAGATATACGTGCATGCAAATGTGAATAGAGTAACGACTTACCAAAACCATGATACACACATAATAATGAGCAAGTCATGACTTACTCAAACGTAGAAAATGTATTTTATACTTCCTCTACTTTACTTCACTCCATACACTTACATTTAGAAGAATTCTGTCTAAAGTGGTGAACGTGATCAAGATTATCCTAGTTTACCTGCAGGCAGAAATTTCTATGTTGTGAAAAATGTTTTCTAATATAACACAATACTAATTTTTTAGAGCTAACAAACGCTTGACTGTACTCTAGAATGGAAGATATCGAATATTAAATATCAAATACGAAACTCAAAAATAATTTGGAAATTATTTTGACATAATTTGAAGAATGAAAAAAATTAGAAATCAATTATATGAAATTGATTTGGAGTAGGAAAAATGGAATTAAAGGTATCTATTTATAGATTTTCAAGTGACTTTTTGAATGGTTGCATCTTTTAACATATACTACACATTTTCACCCCATTAAATGCTCATGCCTTTCATCATGCACCTTTTAAATAGTCATACCCATTTTAAGCAACATGACTCTTAGTATACATCTTTTGCTTTTGAAGAGATATCTATTGGAGACATATTCCAATTCACTATAAAAAATACAAATTATTCCAACAATACCCCACATGAGTGGAAGAAGTCGATTCAAAATAAGGAAGATGAAGAAGAGTAAAATGAAATATAATGCATCATGATTGGTAGCTTTCACTTTGAATCTTCATTAGTAAGAATCTATCGAACTTACTTGACTAATCAGTTAATGAAACGTTTTGAACCGTCGGCCAAAAATATGAAGGAGATGAAATGAAGTGAGGTATGTGAATGTAAATCTTCTTAAGACAGATTTCACCACTTGCACTAGTTCTAATAGGATCAAATGGACGTCCGTCTTTAAAGATACAACACTTTTTACAAAATTAATATAACACAATACTAATTTTGTAGAGCTAACAAACGCTTGACTGTACTCTAGAATGGAAGATATCGAATATTAAATATCAAATACGAAACTCAAAAATAATTTGGAAATTATTTTGACATAATTTGGAGAATGAAAAAAATTAGAAATCAATTATATGAAATTGATTTGGAGTAGGAAAAATGGAATTAAAGGTATCTATTTATAGATTTTCAAGCGACTTTTTGAATGGTTGCATCTTTTAACATATACTACACATTTTCACCCCATTAAATGCTCATGCCTTTTCATCATGCACCTTTTAAATAGTCATACCCATTTTAAGCAACATGACTCTTAGTATACATCTTTTGCTTTTGAAGAGATATCTATTGGAGACATATTCCAATTCACTATAAAAAATAAAAATTATTCCAACAATACCCCACATGAGTGGAAGAAGTCGATTCAAAATAAGGAAGATGAAGAAGAGTAAAATGAAATATAATGCATCATAATTGGTAGCTTTCACTTTGAATCTTCCTTAGTAAGAATCTATCGAGCTTACTTGACTAATCAGTGAATGAAACGTTTTGAACCGTCGGCCATAATTGTAAACCTACACAATAGATCGAACATATTATATCTCATATCAAATTTTGGTTCTCTATTGTGTTCATTATTTTGGTCATAAACCTTCATTGTTTTGCAAGTACGCTAGAGAATTCACCTAAATAAAATTCTCATAGAACCGACTAAGTTCACACCACATAGGTGATGTTCTATAAAGATTATCCAACAATACTTGTACTATTTACAAGATATAATCATCATTAAAAGTATAGTTTATCCTAACCAATCTTTAGTAGGCAATACTTATCTGCATCATAGAAATGGGGATAGCCATGTCAACGAGTTGAGTAGAGCCGGCCGAGCCACGAGCCGAAACTCAAAGCTCAGGCTTGACTTGAGTAAAGCAGGTCCGAACTTTTTTGGACCCGAGTCGAGTCGAGCAGAGCAAAAGCTCGGCCAAAAAAATGAGACTCGGCCCGAGCTTTAGGCTCGAGCCTTAGTGGGCAGAGCTAGCTCGTTTTTTTTAAATTCGTTATAAATCTATAATTTTTTATAATGTATTTAAAATTTATGCAATTTATACGTATTATAAATAATAACTAAGTATTAATATATTTAAAAAATAAATCTATAATTAAAAAAATTAAAAAAATAGGTCGGCTCGGCCCGTAACACTGGCCAATAATGAGCCCTGGCTAGTTCGGGCTCGAGTCGACGCCCCAAAATAGGGTTCGGCCCAAGCCTCTGCTCGATGCCACCGAGCCATGAGCCGGCCAGGCTCGGGCTTTTTCTTGACTGAGCCCGGGCCGCCGAACTTTTTTGACATCGCTAAATGGGAATAAGTTAAAATTTAAAAGTGCTATATATTGAGTCAATCATAACTAGTTTTTCTATTCAACCTAGTCCGTGGGATCTTAGTCGCTAGGTTAGGTTTCCATTAAACTAATCCATTTGTTTAGGCACACATTCCCCTCGGTGCACAATATATTCTCTTTAGATAATTCATTTATAAATGGATCCGATATGTTATTTTTCGATAAAACAATCAATATTGTTCTATTTGAGAGTAACTGCCGAATTGTATTATGTCTATGACGTATATATCGAGATTTAGCATTATACACCATATTTGTGCCATGCCATTTGTTAGCTATCTCGATCAAATGATATAACAGGCACACAATCTCACTAATTAGAAAATCCTCTAAATAACTTTGAAGCCATACTGCTTCGTTCTAACTTTATTGAAAGTTCCAATCTATCTTTCAATTCTCAAGTTGCATTGATGATTTCCAAGTTCAACTACACTTTCAAAAGTAAAATATATTTAGTAATACATTTTGTATCCTTACACTGGATATCCATTTTCCAACATCTTGCACGTTTTAATTTTAACAAGATATTCACTACAGTGCAATTTATTATTTCAAATATTCTCGAATATATCAATATTCTAATTTGAAAACGTCATCCCCCACAAATCTTGGGGTGCATTGAACTTAAATTGAGAATGTTGTACAAACAACACTTCCACCCCCACAATTCACAATAAGCTCAACTTAGCAACATGATATTCTTATAAGAATATACATCTCGACTACATCGATAATTATGTTTATCTACTGGATAAATAATTTTATTCATCCGCTAGTCAATATAAAAAAATGACTAAGAATGTCAATGTCACATGAAAGCCCACGACTTCCATATTTTAGACCGTCAATTAACAAAATAAAAACGAAAAATCATTCTCTCATTTTAAAGAATTTGTAGCCGTATGTTGAATTATGATCAAACCAACTTTAATTGGCCATATCACGGTCAACACAGACCCAAATCTAGTTTTCACATTGCACAAAAAATGGGTAACACTTGAAAAGAACATTGTAGCTTAATAACTTAATAACTCCCTTCTTTCAATAAATCTTCTATAATTTAGGTGAGCAAGCATGTACACACATTCATTGAAGAAACATATGTCCAAACAAATGGTACCCCCAAAAACCATGGGTAAACCCAAACTTAACAATATAAGCAATCACTGTTGTTTCAAAGTTCGATGTGAGCAACTCCTCTGGATTAGAGTGAATAACGAACGATGATTCGAAAAATCGAACGAAGTAGTTTGCATGTCAACCAGTACTACTTTAATGTTAATCACTTTGCACGCCAAGTACACTTATAATTCAATATTATTGTCTTATCATATTTAACATGCATAATTAAAAAAGAAATTATCAAGTAAAGCCATGCAATTTTCTTTCGAATCAAAACAACACAAAAGAATGTACAAAGTCACATGTTATTTGAATAAATTTTAGTGTTTATGCACAATGGCAGATCCAAGATTTTGAATGAGGATATTCGATCGTTGACGGCCGCAATAATAATCAATCTTGTGAACTGAAATTACGTATATCGTAGTTCGAATTGTAAGTGTGACCGTACGTTATCTACAAGTCTAATAATGTTTAACGAGTAACAATTTGAAGTTTGGAAAACGGGTTTAGTTATTTACTTTCTTGTTTCGATTTGCTAATAATTCTAGTCTAACAGGATAAATAAATATTTTAATAATCTCATTGTAAGGTTGAATTTTAGTTAAATTTTTTTTAAATAAAAGATCATATAGAATTTTGTTAAACTAAATATCAATATCCACCAAATACCATAGTGGTCAAGTGTTTGATAATTCCAGCAGTGCTCTAACTAACTAAACTACCATAGCATTATGCGAATGAAAGGAAATCACATTTATATATTCAAATAAATAGATACGTTGATCCAAAAAAAATACTGAATACCGACGGATCCAGCACGGGCGGCCGCTGGAGCTCGTCGAGTGTTGGATCCACCGTCAGAGCTCGCCGGATGATGAATCCACCACTGTTTATGCATAGTTTAAATCTGAATATTTAAATTTTAACCACATGCATAAATAATTTGTTCTATTTTTCTTCATTCAACAACTTTTTTCCATCTTCATCTCATATGTAGAAGAAATGCAAGAGAGCAACGGAATTGTTGGATAAATGAAATTCAAGAAATTAGAATCCAAATGTTCATTATCTTTTTCGTAAATTACCAAATAATCGAAGAAAAATTAAAGAGGAAGTTCTTTCGCATACTTTCAATATAGAACATATCTACAATATCAATTACAAAATTAAGAATATGTTCTCATCATGCAATACAACATTTAAGTAAACTTGTATTAGGCATGAATAGTGCACAACAAAATTATCAGTAATATGAAAGAAGAATTATGCCAAATGTATGTTGGATGACATCTTGCCTTAAATTGTATGGAGATTCAAAAAGTGTTTGGCGGGAAAGTGTATTTTTAAAATGTCCAATCATGTGCTGACATGTAGCATATT